GGGTTTTTATGCGGAAATGACTGGACTTATAAAAGAAGAACTTTGCAAGCATTCACATCTCTCGCTGGATCTGCTTTTCTCGACATTCACGATGCAGCTTTGTGGAGCTCTGATCCTGTTGATGACTCTCATTAGTTTAAAATCAGAACTCAAACATTTTCCAGTGGCCCTAATCCTCTTCTGTAAATAAATGATTAACATGTGAATAAGTTATAATTAAATACATGGATTTACTGTATAGGGACTTGTAATGAGAAGCTTGTTTTTAGTTTTCTCTTTCTGAGCTGTGGCTACAGAGGCCTTCACTGCAAACTGGGGGTTTTCTTGCAACAGGAAACCATGTTTCCATGTGCAGCAACACAAAACATTTTAAACTGATGGTGGTTTTGTTAAATTCTGTAAACCAATGGACCTTAGATTTGGAGTATTTTCAACCATGTGTGACAGTATTTTGTTTCCCTGTATAGCGTGTGGATTAAAATGCTACACATGTGGACTGACTGGCCATGTCTCTTGCACATACATCACATCTTGCCCTTTTATGATGGATCGTTGTTTCTACTACTATAGCCAAGGTAAGATGTTCTTTCGTACCATCGAAACTGAGAATTTCAAAGAGATTATTTGTCAAATGGGGTCTGAACTGATATATGTACTGAATACCCGGTGGCTTTTGTTGTTGTTGAAATGTTTTCCTCATGTCTCCCAGAATTAACTCTTAAGGGTTGCCAAAGCAAGTTTCTATGTGTAAGCCCTATAAGTTGCTGTGAGGGAGACTTGTGCAACAATGCCATACCTACTGGTCCCAGCATGATCCTCCTGCTGGTGTCCTCAGCCATCATCACACTCTTTGAGACTCTGTAACAGCTACAGCAGAAAATGTTTCCTATGTTGAAGTGTGTTGTAATCCAATCTGTTGTAATAAAATTCAAGAATGAACCATTTTTCAATTTGTGAAAATCTTAAAATAACATTCCATTGCCAACAGATCAGTGTTTGTTCAATAAAAAAAATTCCACTTTGGTGACGTTCATGTTTTCAGCCTATATTAAGGTGTGCAAAGTTTTGTCTGAGGTAACAAATACATTTTTCTGACCTCTTGAATTTTTGAAACCCTTCAAATATTCACTGAATAATGCTATCCTGCACCATTTTTAACTTTGGAGCGCACACTTTTCACATAGCAGGAAACACAAAAACAGCCACACGAGGTTTGGTTCTCTTTGACAGAGTAAACCATAAAACATCAGGTGTACTGCAGCTCCACGCTCTTGCTCGCGTTCGCTAGTAAAACGTGTCCACTTAAGCCACATGACTAACAAAGGAGTTACATGTTGTCAGTGCAATGCCAGTGAATGCATGTTAGCTTAAACCTAGGTCAAGAGTTTCCACAACACAGCAGTTGCCATGATGACAAAAGGTTTGGCATGTGGACAGTTATAATCTGCAAGCAGTCGAGATAAAGAGCTCGTCAGGGGTGACCTGTGGTTAATCTTTATCACAATCACATTCTGCTGTGGCAGCAGATCTCTGGTGGTCATTTCCCTTTGAAAAATAAGAATCTCCTTTTATGTCTTGTGTGCTCACAAGAATGCAGACATGCATAAATGTGCCTTTTTTAACATCTTCAGTGAACTTATGGAGAGATGTGACTGAATGAATGTTGTGCTGAGGTAAAGTTCTTATGTTCAGCATTCACTTTTTCTCCACAATTTCATTGCAGAAAGACTGGAGTCTCTCACTTGGTCTTTTCTTGAGGGGGTTAAAATAATGCCCAGCTTAAAGGGCTCCACACTGCAAGCTAGTAACAACACACCAACACCTTGAGTTATGAGACACTCCTCAGCGGCCTGTACCACACCCATATCATCAAGATGTGGAAGGGTCCCAAAATGTCATACTCTTCCTTTAAACACTACCACTCCACAGACAGATGAAGTAAGATGGGTTATTGATATCAAAACAATAGGAGGGTTCTCAGTATGTCTATACTCACCATGTATTTGTGAATAGAGGTAACATCCGACCCCACACTTTTTATTGACTTTTAGTCAGTTATTGAGAGCTCAGCTATAATAATTTTAATCAGTATAATAGCTTAGATTGGTATTTAGAAATAGTAGTTGTTTTAGTTATAAGCCAATCAGAATGATTATTGATGATTTTAATATTTTTGCTTTATTGCTTACTGCTATGCTGTAACCCTTTTAAAATCTATATACAATTTGTAAAAAGGTTAAACTCTCATTATTGAGTCAGACTTGTTTTTATTATTAGTATTATCTCTATGGGTTTAGAATGGGTTTGCACTTTGTAAGTAGTGATATTTAAAGCTGTATATAATGGTTAACACAAAGTATGAGGAAAGTGATAAATGTGATCAACCTCTTAAAAGAAAATTAATGATTCAGACAAAACTCACCACTTCCTCAAAGAGCCAGCGTATACTGGTTCCTAAAACTTTTATTTCAGACAAAACTCACCACTTCCTCAAAGAGCCAGCGTATACTGGTTCCTAAAACTTTCTCAGTAGAGCAACATCTGAAGGTATAAAGAAGTAACTGTAAGTTGTTATTGTTTGGGAGGATTTAGGGTCTTGTTCTCAATTAATGACGTGAAAAAGGGAGGTCTGCAGGGAACTGTGTTCACAGGTTCATGGTGGTCAATTACTGAGTGAACATCTGCACCAAAAATCCTCAAGCAGTGTTTGGATCTTTAATATGTTTGAAGTATGCCACCTTAGTGTGAGAGGTTAAGTTTTGTTCCTATGTCCAGGGGTTACAATACCAAACCTATACAGAAAATCCAACAAACACATTTTGTCTTTTTTTTTTTTTTTAGCAGTCTGCCTTCATAACAGTAAGCATTCCTTCAAAGCAGAGAAAGGACCATTAACATGACTTATCATTCATGTAAGAAACACTTTCCTCTCACTACCACTAAATGTTCACAACATGGCTGATTAGGAGATAATTAACTTTTATATCCCAATTAATTTGATACACTGAGACGAGCTTTTTATAAAAGGAGGACTTTGCAAGAGTCAGCATCTTCTCTTGCTGGATCTGCTTTTCTCGACATTCACGATGCAGCTTTGTGGAGCTCTGATCCTGTTGATGACTCTCTCTGCAGGTAAGAACATCTTGTGATTCAAGTGCTGTAGTTTGGCTGGATATTGCAATACAAAGAAATGAAAGTAACAGTAATTGTTGAACCTGAAAGTTGGATCTATAAGTCAGAATGGTGTGATGTCATGGAAGAATGTCAGTATTCATTCTTGAATCTTAAAAAAAACACAAAGACTCACTGGTTGTTAAAGATGTACTGTCAGTATAGGAGAAGGACAGCAGGTACTGCCTATTTCTCAGTCAGGCATTACAGGTCACAAATGTTTATAGCATATCAGAGGACAAAGAAAACTTTCCTTTCTGTGCTAGTAAATCTCATAAGATGTTACCACTAATGAATATCCAACATCTTTATAGAGATCTTATACAAAAAATCTCTGGCCAGATTCTTAAAGGACAGACCTACCTCTCCATACTGGCCCAGCTTTACACAGAACTTAAACTGTATGTGACTGAGAGACGTGAACAAACAACAAATACTATATAAATATATAGCGACAGGTAACGACAGAGGAAGACAGAGCTTCTCTCATTACATGAATATTTTGTTCCTTAACTGGGCCTCTAGTCTTCCTGTTTGTTCCAGTCACAAACACACACACACACACACAGAACCCAGTATAAATAAAACTAGCATAAGGAGTGAATGTAAATGAATACACACAAACATTAATTCATAAATATGGAAGAGGATAAGAGCCACTGGAAAAAAACACAAACAAAAAACACTGAGTTCTGACTTTAAATCTCTGAATTCTGGTTTTGAACTCAGAAACCAGATTTAAAGATTAGACCTACTTTAAAGTCAGAAATCTAAGTTTAAAATCAGAACTCAAACATTTTCCAGTGGGACTTGTAATGAGAAGCTTGTTTTTAGTTTTCTCTTTCTGAGCTGTGGCTACAGAGGCCTTCACTGCAAACTGGGGGTTTTCTTGCAACAGGAAACCATGTTTCCATGTGCAGCAACACAAAACATTTTAAACTGATGGTGGTTTTGTTAAATTCTGTAAACCAATGGACCTTAGATTTGGAGTATTTTCAACCATGTGTGACAGTATTTTGTTTCCCTGTATAGCGTGTGGATTAAAATGCTACACATGTGGACTGACTGGCCATGTCTCTTGCACATACATCACATCTTGCCCTTTTATGATGGATCGTTGTTTCTACTACTATAGCCAAGGTAAGCGATTGACCATGTCTCTTGCACAGACATCACACCCTGCTCTCCTATGATGGATCATTGTTTCTACTACTATAGCCAAGGTAAGATGTTCTTCCGTACCATCAAAACTGAGAATTTCAAAGAGATTATTTGTCAAATGGGGTCTGAACTGATATATGTACTGAATACCTGGTGGCTTTTGTTGTTGTTGAAACGTTTTCCTCATGTCTCCCAGATTTAACTCTTAAGGGTTGCCAAAACAGTATTGGATGTGTAAGCCCTATAAGTTGCTGTGAGGGAGACTTGTGCAACAATGCCATACCTACTGGTCCCAGCATGATCCTCCTGCTGGTGTCCTCAGCCATCATCACACTCTTTACTCTGTAACAGCTACAGCAGAAAATGTTTCCTATGTTGAAGTGTGTTGTAATCCAATCTGTTGTAATAAAATTCAAGAATGAACCATTTTTCAATTTGTGAAAATCTTAAAATAACATTCCATTGCCAACAGATCAGTGTTTGTTCAATAAAAAAAATTCCACTTTTGGTGATGTTCATTTTCTTTTATAAAGTATTAATCTACACTTTCTTTTTTTCAGTTAGGGCTACTTACTAAAACAGATTTTAATAATAAAGATACATTTACTAATACCAGTTGTGTCCACTTAAGCCTTTCAAACTCACTACCACCAAATGGTCACAAGATGTCACCAAAGTAAGACATTCTCAAAACCTACAATGTCATCAAGTAGTTGCTTTGACTAAAAAGGCTAAGTTAGAGAAATTATGTAAAGCAACATTTAAAAAAAATTGAAAATTTTACAGTAATTATTCATATATCTTCCTGCAGGAGAAACTAAATGGAATACTGTCAGAGAATAAAACTGTCATAGTATTTTCACATTAATGTTTAACATACATCCATCTGTCCGTCCATCATCTATACCCTTTATCCTGAACAGGGTCACGGGGGGCTGGAACATGTGTTCCTCTAACACATATGTAATATCATTCCACATTATGAATTTATTGTTTTAGAGACGCTGCTGTCCACTGTGTGTATAAACTGAACATCGCTGTTCTGGTATGCAAGAAAGTAACACAAGACCACCAGTTTAAATCAAGTTCACTTCATCAATCAAAGAACAGCGATGTTCAGCTAAATCATTTGTATAATTTAACTAAACAATTAAAAACTGCTAATTCTATCTTATACATGTATAACTATTTTGAAGCAAGTCATTTGGATTACTTAAGCAGTATTGTGCTTTATTCTCATGCCAGCAATCATGTTGCAAGAGCAGGCAAACATACAGTATATTCTGACGGCACCATTAAAAAAAATTCCTTAGCAATGTCAGTGCCTAAAAACATAATGGTAAAGTGTGTCAAGGTTATCACTGTGTGCAGAGGCATGTGTTTTATCACTCTACTGGTTCTCTGTACTAGAGCTGGAAAACCCTAGTTAAGCTGATAAGGCAAATAAAGGCACAAGGCAGACATGGACAACATGTTAAAATATGGTGTCTTTGAGAACAATATCTGTT